TCAGTTTTATCAGTGCTCGAAATCTCTATAAAGCACTATACTTTATATAATAAATGTACAACAACAATAATAATACTTGAATGAATCATTGGACATGTAAAATTTAATAATAATTTCATGTATAGAAATACTATAATACAAAACTACCCCTATCACAGAACAACTGTTATTTTTGTTTAATTTAATACATCAGCTTCAAATGGCACCATTCATTTGTAATGCCAATGGTTAAGATTGTACTCAGTCATAACTTCAAAACTGTATATTAATAATAAGAAAGAAATTGTGAGCATTATCGAGAAAATATAGTATACCCTGAAATGTAGTGACACAGCCAGGTGAATATATGAATGTATTATGTAGGCCAGTAGGATTATTCCTTATTTAATATGCTGACAATGGACATACAGTATCTCAGAGATATATTTTTACAAACCGTCATACCTTGTACAAAAGTCGGTTGACATGCTATTACATATAACTGCTGGTAAGTTAATATGTGCAGACAGCCATATGGGCAGATTTACTGAGCCTGGGGGGTTATGCACCTATCATTGTTTTCCCCCTGAAGGAGGGGGGGGGGGTGCGGGCGACCCAGGGGACTTTGACCACACTATGAAGCACCAGGGAGGGGAATTTGACCTATGCATCAACTCCCAGAGTCGGGAAATTTTGACATCCGCCATCTTGAAAGTTCGCGCGGTTTTGACATTAAAAGGCTTGGTAACAAGTATATGGCGGAGAAGCACGATCAAGTTTCATTGAAAAAGGTATTTTATACACAGTGTCTCAATTTTTACCAAGTTTAAACCAGTATAGACTGTATGTTCGCATTGGAAAACATATGTGTGTCTTGTTATCTTAGGAATATAGTGGGGAATTTTGGCAGCTGTTCCTTGCCCAACAGTGGGGATTTTGACGACAAAATTTTAAAAATGTCAAAATTCCCCTGGGTTGCCCGCACCCCCACCCCCCTCAGGGGGAAAACATTGATAGGTGCATTAGTACCAAGTATAACACCCCGAGGTGTTATAAAGTGTTCTACCCCACCAAAATTTCACGTCAGCCCTCCTACTTTGGGTGAATGTCTTTAATCCTAACTCCTGCCGAAGCTTGGTGGTGCTGCTTGCATCCCACTAGAAAATGTTTGGCCACCCCTCCTTTTATACCACACTGGATTGCTATAGGGATATATTTATATTAAATATTAACTAAAGCCTGATTGTAAGCCCTGCTACACAACATTCCACGTTTGTTTTTAAAACGTGCTGAAAGCACATTGCTATAAACATGTCGAATAAACACTATAAACTCATCGCCTTTGGAAATAACCACACAAACAAATAAACTAAAAACAGATTTTGACTACTTGTATATTTAACTATAAAGACGATGACAGTGCAGCGCCGCAGGGTAAATTCTGAAATTCATGTTAATCTAAATTCATGAAATATCACAGTGTTCTAAATATACTGTACGTAAATGCCTTCATGTATATTACCAAAAAGAAATAAAGCTATCCTTACCTGAATTATTGAAAATATTGTCCATGTTTTGCATCATGAAAATGTAAATATTGGCTCGTAACTGTCCTTGAGAAGAACTTGCTCCGTGTGCAATACAAAATAAAGATTGACCGCCCCCCTCGTTTAAAAAAACTTCCTGAAGCCTTAATTATTTCCCCGGAATTACGACATCTTTACATACAGACAGACAGACAAAAATCGAGATCTCGACAATACATAGCTCGGGCAAAGAGACTGGACACAAGTAAACGCGATACTTCATTTGGCGGGAAATTCAAATGCGCTATAACACATCGTCAAGAATAGGAGGCTGCCTTCGGCAACAATTACAACGTTTGACCGCTGCAACGTTTGGCAAATGTTGTAAAATGAGGAAAATATAGCCCTGCGAAATTTGCAAATTTCGTATTTTTAATTTGTATTATGCACGGGAATTTTCATCACTTTCGGCCCAAATGTGGTGCATTTTCCCGCGCGTAATACAAATTAATACAAAGTTTTCAAATTTCGCAGGGCTATATTTTCCGCATTTTACAACATTTCGCAACTAAACTTTGTAATTTTACTAATTTTAAGATGCTCTTTCTAGCTGTGGTGATGGATTTTGTTCTTCTTGCCTAGATCAAAATTTAGTCTTATAGCTGGAATCATCCATTATGACGGGTATTCCACACCCACTCGCATGCCATTCCGCACGGCCATTTTTCACTCACATGCAATTCTGCACTCACTCACATGTCATCCCGCACGGCCATTCCGAAGTCACTCGCATGTCATTCCGGACTGCCATTCTGCACTGACTGACATGCAATTCCGCACTACCATTCCGCACTCACTCACATCATTCCGCACGGCCATTCCGCGCTCACTCACATGCCATTCCGCACTGCCTTTCAGAATTACTCGGACGCCATTCCGGACTACCATTCCGCACTCACTGACATGCAATTCCGCACTACCATTCCGCATCTGTGAACTCTAAGGGAACTGGAACGATAACTTGGCCGCCATCTTTGAAGCCACTCATGATGGCCGCCATGTACGTATGGAGCGGAAAATACGCCGCCTAAAAGATGTCTGTTTTCGACCACTAAATAGCTGTATTTCAACAAGGAAAACTTTCAACAATACCTGAAATTGAATACAAAACATGTTTCCATAACGTAGAGCAGTTTTAAAGTTATTTTTCAGGAGTCAAAGTGAGAACGGCATGTTCACATTTGTATAATATTTTGAATATCAAGCTGTTACCCCTAAAGTTTAGGCTCTCAAAGTATGTTAACCACTTAGGACTATCCAAAAAATCAAGTTTTGGAACTTTAGAAAGGGAGCCATCTAGTGAAAAACGGCTTTTATCAGCGTACTTTTGCTCAAAAACAAAGCTCCGAGTAAATACTACTCTCTCCAGGCCGTTTTTGAGAATCGGAGGCAGAGCGTAAACAAATACAAAACTATTGTACAGAAGTATTCATATAGACGAAAAACAATAGTTTTTTAACTTGCATGTTTTTACGAAACCTATCATGCCTATTGCTTGTATTATCTCAGTCCGCGACAGAAGCAGAGAAAGGATAAAAAGGCCAAAAAAACATACACAATGATACAAAAACAAAGGTTGCATTTCACAGGTGAGCTTTCTTACAAGTAACAACAAGTACCGATATCATTTTATAGACAAATTTTATTAAATTTAAATGCATTTTTCATAAATACATCAACATATTGTTAAGTCATATATTTCTAAATACAACATTTGAGAATAGACTATGAAGGCTGCACAATAGTAAATAGTTTGTGTGTATAGCTAAGCTTTATATGTTATATAATCCATTGAGTGACAGCACTCTCCACTTGACGAGTAAAATCGCCTGGCGTTAGATAGAGTAAAACACTAAAGTAGGGCGCATGCATTGCCACTTAAAGGGATAAACTAGTATGGTCTCAGAAAGGAAATACAATATATACTACAGAAACATTTTACATTTTCAAAATGTATCAAATTTAAAATGCACAAATTTAGATTTAAATTCCAGCTTGTTATTTAGATTTAAATTAGATTTAAATTCCAGCTTCCGGGTTGAAAAATGGGAGGAAGCAGTACAAAGTGCTAATAGCTGTCCTGAGTGGAAGGCAACAAGATTTAGCTTCATTTGCAGCAACCACTTCTACAGGTTCGATTATATTATACCAATATTAGAACACGGAACCTGTCGGTTAAAAAATACATCAGTGCCCACAATATTTCCACAAAAAACATGCAGTGCAAACTATGGCACATCTAGAGAAATACGTAGAAAAATCAATGCCCCTTCTGATTTACAGCCACTGACAACACTGTCGGCTGCTGAAAAAGTTGCTCTTGACCATACTTACTGCAGAAAATTCAAGCACAATCGACGAAGGTTTGGATCAGAGCACATGCATAGAGACCAGAGCTGCAAAATAAATTAAAACGAAGAATTAAATCATGCACAGCAACAGTTAAGACGGACAAAAGCCAGGCAACAAACTATGTCAGACACAGCCTAGTCCCAGTCGTTCTGAAGCAAGCGCGAGAAAAAACGTGGATGTAGTACGAGACTGAGACTTAGGTGTGACGTCACCGCTAAAGGTGCTTCAGAACGCCTAGCAGATTTCAGTATTTTTAATATGGGGGAAAATTTAGATATACAAATAACCTTGTAAGTACGACAATGTTCGTTGATCATGTTCGATGTCTACATAACAAATTCAAACTGTATCAAAAATGTGCTCAATTTTAAAAAAATATATACAAATTTACGATACAGAGTCTGAGCAATGGTCGTATAATCGTTGATGATATTTATATACTCGCAAGTTGTGATCAACACTAGACCATACTTGTATACACAACTACGCTTTCTATTTGACAGGTTTAAGCAGCTGAGGAGATTGGGAATATTTGCCTGACATGACTGTGATGTCAAAACATTTTTAGTCGGAGACTCGGCATAATTTTCAAGCTTCTAGATAGCATGTGCCGATCTGGCTTTGTATTTTAGTAAACACGAGTTATATTTAGCCCATTATTCCATTCTGACCGTATGGTAGCGAAACGTAGCGTATTTCATTGTTCCAACAGCATTAGAACAAAACTAATGACTTAATTATAAACGCAAAGGAAATTTCCATAACATTTTCTATTTACAAATACGGTATGCTTGGTAACCAGGCCAGGGACCACTTTTTTGAAATCAGTGACCATTTTACCGAAATCTGCTAGGCTCTCTCGCTGAAGCGTTCCGCACAGCACACCCAGGCATAAAACGTTTAAGACTTATTTAAATATATCAAAGCAGCAAATAAGAGAGAGAGCCTGGGACTAGGCTGTGTCAGATATGATACATGAACTGCAACAGAAACAAGTTATATCTCCAGAGGATGCCGAAATGATGCATGCAAAATTTGATGAAATACGTACAGCTCTCGATTTTTAGAGACACTAAAAACAATATGTTAGCTGTGCACCTTGTGGGCGTAGATATTCAGACGTGGTTAATTAAAGAGTTCACAAGTACCCTCAAGTCGCCTAAGGCATACCAGTATGTACCGTCAATACTTCCTTTGCTTAATCCATCCCTCATCAGAAAGTGGTCTAGCGTACTCAAATGTGAGCCCGGGTTTATCAAAGAATCTTTTGAATCCATTCAGAAAGAAGCCATGCAATGTCCAGAGAAGAAAGACTGCTGTATAATCATTGATGTGATGTCCACAAGAAAACAAACATTGTGGGATGCCAAGCAGGACAAATATGTGGGCTTTGTGGATTATGGCACAATACCAACTGAGAAATCCGATACTCTAATTGCATCCAAAGCAGTTGTATTCCTACTCGTGGGTGCACGTATAGTCATTGGAAGTGTCCAGTTGGATACTTTCTTGCTGACAAAATGTCATCCAAAACCCAAGCACAGCTGGTTAGAATTTCAACTAAAATGGCTGCAGAGGCTGGTCTTCGAGTATGATCAGTAACCACTGATGGTACAACAGTGAACATTAACATATTCCGCGAACTTGGGTGCAACTTTAGAACACCCTTCAACTCTATGGTCACAAAATTCAAACATCCAACAGCAAATTATTATGTATATGCAATCCTGGATCCATTCCACATGCTATAAAACTGGCCAGAAATGCACTGGCTCACCATAACTTCTTTGTCGACAATGAAAACAATATCGTCAAATGGAATCTATTCTCGTCCTTAAATAGAATTCAAGAAAGTGAAGAATTTATTTTTGCCAACAAATTCTCCTCGAAACATTTGCAATTCGGAAAGCACAAGATGAATGTGAAACTTGCTGCACAAACACTCAGTACGTCTGTTGCAGATGCAATGGACCTTTCCCCTTATAACTAAAATTTTGACCTAGACAAAAATTTCATCACAGCTGGAAAGAGCATCACAAAATTAGTAATATTCCAAAGTTCCGTTGCGAAATGTTGTAAAATGCGGATAATATAGCCTTGCGAAATTTGCCGTTTTTCAGTCATTTTGTATTAAGCATGGTTAATTGACAGCTCAATCGGGTGTTGGGGCATCAATTTCCCCTTTGTAATACAAAATGACTGAAAATTGCAAATTTCGCAGGGCTATGTTATCCACATTTTACAACATTTCGCAACGAAACTTCGGAATATTACTAATTTTGTGCTCTTTCAAGCTGTGATGAAATTTTTGTCTAGACTTGTCTAGATCAAAATTTTAGTTATAGGGGGAAAGGTCTATTGAATTCGTAGATTCATCAGTGAAACTTACTGAACTCTGTAATTCCAGAGGGACAGTTAAGTTTGTTAGAACAATCGATCGGTTGTTTGATGTGTTAAATTCACGAAGTCCTATCGCCAAAGGATTTAAACGACCTCTTCGACCAGAATGCAAACAAACCTGGAAGATATTCTGAAAACCACTGCCAACTACTATGCCTATTCAGTTTGAGAGCAAACAATGAAGCCCAGCAACTCTTGGCAATGCATGCACGAAAAACCTTTGTACTTGGTTTTGTCACAACAATTAAGTCGACAATTGAGATGGCAAGTGAAATGTTTGCAATTGAAGAACCGTTTCAATATCTATAGACATATTAATTCCCACAAGACCGCATTGAGTTATTGTTCTCATGTATAGGAGCAAAAGGTAGTTGGAATAACAACTCAAATTGTTTGCGGCTAAAGTATACAATGAGGAAGATGTTACTTAGAAATGCTGTGGCAGCCTCCAAAAATGCCAACTGTGAAACATTCTTAAACTGTTCCACCACGATCATCCCCTTCTTCCACTTCAGAAAACATAAAGTCCCTTTGGTAGAATCGTCTTCAGAATCCAACAGCTCCGACCAACCAGATAGCACACCTGAAGAAGACTTGCTCTGTTCAAATTTAAATGCTCCAACTACATCCGAGTTCCTCTCCAACACACTATTCTACATTGGTGGCTTCATTGTGTCTAAGCTAGTCAAGAAACTGTCCTGTTCATCATGCAAAACCCGTCTTCTTGCTCAGTTTACCACGACAACCCATGACCACAACTACTGTGCCTTAAACTTCAACGAGGTTGCCTCAGCATTAGCCTTCACTTTATTTGCAAACAATGGTAATTTACAAATACTATCAGACTCGGTATATGCAATTGTTGAATATGCTGAGAAGGATTCAAAGCAAACGCCTGCAATAATGACCACAAAATTACAAGACAAGAGAGACTTAAAGAGAAACTTGTCATGAAAGTGTGCAACCATTTTATCCTGGACGCCAGCCATTAAGTTTTCAACAACCACGAACAAGGCTTGAATGAGAATGTGTTTGAAAAGGATAACCGATCAAAGCTGATCAAATTAACTGCCGAAAGATATTTCACTCTACGCTTGTTGACGTATGGCAAAAGTTACAAAACTTACGAAACTCATCTTATTCAGAAATGAATAAAATCTTACACAAATTAAGTAAATATTAGTTGTATTATTCATACTGTATTGATTATAAAACAGTGCTTTCCTTTTTCAATCTACTTCCTGTTATTTTACACATCAATTCATCCAAAAACAAATCCAAAAATATTCGTACTCAATCATTTTGACAACCATTCAAAATTAAACCTGGCCGTCAAAGCAATGCGATATTTTGGACTTTATCGTTGTTCCACAAACAATCAGCTCATAATCCAAACTTTATTTCTTCATCGTGATTTTCAGCTTTTGTTTGACTGTTAATAGCATGATATTTAGCACTGATTTCTCGATTAAATTTACAGACAAACACTTTAAAATCCTCCATAACCACGCCGTTTGTAATCGAAGGTTTTGCTCGCTGAGCTTCGCTCCTGACCACTCAGCATGCGTGTTGCTCGCGAGATGCGCCATCTTGGCTTCAGGCAAGTATAGGCATGTTTATCTGCAGTCAGCGTTCCAGTGTTATTACAGTTCACTGCTCCGCACTCACTCACTCACATGCAATTCCGTACTCACTCACATCATTCCGCACAGCCATTTCGATCTGACTCGCATGCCATTCAGCGCTCACTCACATGAAATTCTGCACGGCGCCTCCATTCCGAACTCACTCTCATCAAATTCTGCACGGCCATTGATCTGCACTCATTCACATGCATGCTATTTCTCATGCACGGCCATTCCGCACTCACTCACATGCCATTCTGCACTGCCCATTCCGAACTCACCCGCATGCCATTCCAGACTGCCATTCTGAACTCACTCACATCATCACATGCCATCCTGCACGGCCATTCTGTATTCACTCACATGCCATTCCGCACTACCATTCCGCACTCACTCACTCACACGTCATTCCGCACAGCCATTCTGCACTCGCTCACATGCCATCCTGCACGGCCATTCTGCACTCACTCACATGCCATCCTGCACGGCCATTCTGCACTCACTCACATGCCATCCTGCACGGCCATTCTGTACTCACTCACATGCCATCCTGCACGGCCATTCTGTACTCACTCACATGCCATCCTGCACGGCCATTCTGTACTCACTCACATGCCATCCTGCACGGCCATTCGCACTCACTCACATGCCATCCTGCACGGCCATTCTGTACTCACTCACATGCCATTCTTCACTACCATTCCGCACTCACTCACTCACTCACTCACTTACTCACTCACTCACTCACTCACTCACTCACTCTTTATCAGGTTACTAAGGTGGAAGTGGAACTGTGGCAAAAAATTAACCGGATTTGTGCCAGACATTGTTGAAATTCTCGCAAAGTACGACCTTTTGCAAGTTTTAATCACTTATATTCTCACAAATGATTTCCCTATAAAAACTCTGTGGAAAAAGACTGTCAATAAACATGTTCGAGAGCAATATGATCGTGTTTGGCGATAAAAGATTAGTAAGAACAATCAACTATATCTCTACTCTAAGGTTCATACAAAGAATGAAGTTTCTCATTGGTGGATAATAGCAAGAAAGAATCCATCCTTCATGAAGGAGATTAATAACGTCATAAGACTAATTTGTGGCTCCTACAAGGTCAGGGGGAAGCGTGTGGATCATCCTAATACGTACATTGACTATTGTGACTCATGCAATCGTAACTATTTAAATCCTGTTAATCATGCTCTGCTTTATTGCTTAGGTTCGCAAAACGAGCGTGAACTATTGTGGGACTGGGTAAACGATAATCTTCCTTTAGAGGTTGCTGTTTATTTAGCAACATTATCGGACACGGATTTTATGCTTACTCTTTTAGGCTTACAATCAGAAACTTTATGCTTTGATATGGAACTGTGGACGTTATATTTGTTGCAATCTGCATGTTATATTTCATCTTGTTTTTAAACTAGTGTAATTTCAATTTAAGTAGTTAGTTAATTAGTTAGTTAGCTTTATTTGTATGTATAAGTATGTATGTGTGTGTATATGTGTATTGATATATACTTTCTTGTAAAATACTCTTCAGAAATTGGAGGTAATAAAGATTTTAGACTAACTCACTCACTCACACGTCATCCGCACAGCCATTCCGCACTCACTCACTCACTCACTCACTCACTCACTCACTCACTCACTCACTCACTCACTCACTCACTCACTCACTCACATGACATTCTGCACAACCATTCCGCACTCACTCACTCACATGCCATTCTGCACGGCCATTCGCACTCACACACTCACTCACTCACTCACGCACATGCCATTCTGCACAGCCATTCCGCACTCACTCACTCACTCACATGACATTCTGCACTCACTCACTCACTCACTCACTCACTCACTCACGTACATGCCATTCTGCACAACCATTCCGCACTCACTCACCCGCCATTCTGCACGGCCGTTCGGCACCCACTCACATGCTATTCCGCACTGACTCACATGACATTCTGCACAACCATTCCGCACTCACTCACTCACATGCCATTCTGCACGGCCATTCGCACTCACACACACACTCACTCACTCACTCACCCACCCACATGCCATTCTGCACAGCCATTCCGCACTCACTCACTCACTCACTCACTCACTCACTCGCATGACATTCTGCACTCACTCACGTACATGCCATTCTGCACAACCATTCCGCTCTCACTCACACGCCATTCTGCACGGCTGTTCCGCACCCACTCACATGCTAGTCCGCACTCACGCACATGCCATTCCGCCTTTTACATTCACCCCAATTGAATTAGCCAATCAGATGCGTTAAACATTTATATTTGCGCTCAAAACTGCCAAATGTTTAAAACCAATTTTTATTTTAACAATTATTTGGCAAAATGTTTTGTGATCGCGTGTACACGCTAAGGTGTCAACGACTGTATTCGCAGAAAAAATGATTAAAATTACCCCAACCCTTCGGAATACAAAATATTTTGACGAACCAGAATATATTCTAATCACTACAGAAACCGTTTTAATGCATGTTTATTGCTAGCATAATGTGATTAACAGTAGCGTTTTTATTTGTAACATTTTGAGAACTCAGTAAGCACGTATGGAATATGTATCGGGATAAATATTTGAGGTAGGAATATTGAATATTGTTAGTAGGAATGTGAATATGCGAAAAAAATTCGTAATGAATATTTGTCCCCTCCCCATCGCCAGCTATTTTAATATTTGTTTACACTTGCAAGTTTTGCTGCGATTTCAGGCGCGATGATGGATGTGAAAGATTGATGGATGTGAAAGAAAGGATAAGTTATATGAATGCACTTGCTTATTACACTTATTAGCCATTTCTGAATGTTGTCTAACGGTTGCAGTTAAGTTTGTACTCAATGTTAGCAATGTCAATGCCTACTGCTTGTATGAGTTTGACCGAGATTTTATCAATTCCTGCAGATTTGCAGGTTTTCATACTGGAAATAATGCAGTTTACATCCTCTTCTGATAATGTTTTTGAAAGTAAATGAATTTGACACTGGAGTCACATAAGGGTCAATATCGTTAGCAGGAATTTCTTGTGCTAGTTTTTTGCCTACTTCAGCGGAGAAATATTTATTGAATTCCTTTGCAATTTCTTCATCGCCTACTATTGTTTTGCCATTCATATTAATCTCGTTGATCGTTGTTGTTTTAGATTTCCTATTTAATAATTCATTAATTGTTTGACAACTCTCTTTACTGACTATATATCTGTATCTATACCCTTATATGAACAACCTGTCTACTCCTTCACATCCATCAGAAGAAGAATATCACACCGAAAATCGCAGCAAAATTTGCAAGGGTAAACGGGCCTTTAGGAGTTTTGAAGGTAGGGATATTGAATAGTGAAGAAAAAGTATTCCATTTCCTCCTCTGAAGTCTCTCTAGGTATACAAGTGCGAACATATACACTAGATAGTGCATCTAATTGATTCTGCAATTCAAAAATTGAAGCCGTGATTGCAGACTCAGGATATTCCCATGAAATGAGAAGACTTGTATATTTTCTATTTCTTAAACAGGGAACTTAAACATTAAGTTAAACCTATTTCAATTCAAACTATTCAAATGATGAAAATTGTTGTTGTTTTTTAAGCGTTTATTAGCGAGTGGGAAACTTCAACATGGCCGCCATCTATTCAAATGGGGGTAACCGCTGGAATATTCTTGGCTTCAATTTTACTAAAAGAGATGTGCGTGTGATAGTGTATATAAGATATCTATGGTGCAAACACAGCAGCTCAGATTAAATATGTCTAATTTAAAAAAATATTTATATAACAAAATTCCATACATAGGCGAACACAATGTTTGGGCCGGAATGTTTACCGTTATTTAGTATACGAAAAGATATTATATAGTCCCCTGGAAACATTATTGTTGAAACTTAGTAACTGTCAAGCAGCGATCTCTTGTGAACAAACATATTTCATGCTGATTTCCTGTTATCCTACATTCCTACCGTGATGAAACAATGGTGGCAGTGGTGGAACAATTAATTGTTTAAATAATTAAGATGAACCAGGAAGACTGGACTCGTTGACACGAACTCAGACTCTGAATCTATATTTCATTATACGTTTGCTTTCATTAAACCGTTATGACGGAAGACGGAAAAGTCAGTTGAATAACGAGATCTTTCCGATTTTTTAACACTGGAATGTATGAGTCAATTCCAACTGCAATCATCCCACAGGACAAATCCCACTCCCAGGGAAATGACTTTTAATTTTGACAAGATTTGGTCAAATTCCCCATGGTGTGGGTGCAAACATGGTTGTCAATAACCCTGTTCACAAGAGGTCTGTC